GATATGTTTGGTACATATTTTCCATAAAAATTGATTTTTCCTAAAAATTGCCTCACATTTCTTTGTGTTTTTGGTATGGGAAATTCTTTGATTGCAACCAAATTATCCTTTAATGGGGTTATTCTATTATTTTTTATTATATGACCTAAATATTTCACTGAATCTTGTGCAAAATTACATTTCGAGAATTTTAATCTAAAACCTTCTTTTGAAATTGCTTCCAGTAGTAATGATAAGTGTATAATATGTTCTTCAAATGTTTTTGAGAAAATTAATATGTCATCTATATAATTTACCGTAAAATCTGATAATTTATGTTTTCGTATAATATTACTAAGTATTCTTTGAAATATGGCAGGGGATGTTTTTAAACCAAATGGTAAGCAGGTCCACTGAAAATGCCCTTCTTGAGTAACAAATGCTGTCTTCGGCCTGTCTTCAACTTTCATTGGAATAGACCAAAATGCTGAATTTACATCTAGCGTCGAAAAAAATTGACAATTTCTTGTTTTTATCATTAGGTCCTCAATTAATGGGAAAGGTTGTGATTGAGGAACAACAATTTTGTTAATGTCACGAAAATCTACACATAATCTTGTTTTTTTCCCATCTTCCTTTTTAAAAGCCAAAGTTACAGGAGCTCCGAAAGGACTATAAGACTCTTCAATCAAATTATATTGTAGTAGTTTTGCAATTTGTTTTTCAATCTCTTTCTTATCTTCAACACTGCATCTGTACGGTCTCTTGTTACAATATTTATCTACCAACAAATCTATATGTGCTTCATAGCCCTTTACAGTACCAATATCATATTTGTCTTTTGCAAAGAGTGTTTTATATTTACATATTAATTCATCTATTTCCGTTTGTTTTTGTAGATCTAGATGATTGACTGTAATTTCAAAGTTTTTCTTTTCCATGTGTTCGTTAAAATTTATCATATATTTATGATTTTCTTCTATAATCTTTTCCAAATTATTCTTTTCTTCATCGTTGTTATAAGATTTAATTTTTTCTTTAGTTTGATCACCCGTACAGCCGGGAATATATATATTTTCTCCTACTGAGTAAACCTCATCATTATTTCTTTCTTGAAGATTATTTATAATTTGTTTTATTTGTAATTTCTCATTTTGGGTAAGTTTAAATTCTTGTATGCAGTCTAATCCAAGTAAAAAGTCATAATCAAAGTTTTCGTCCTCTATAATGAATACATTCATATGTTTTTCAATGTCAAATATTTTTATTTTCAAATTTGCCATTCCTATAGCTTTTTTTACACCATTAATCGTTTTTAAGTTTGTATTATTCTTATTACTCATGTTATTCTTGTAAGACAGTAGTCTCGAATTTACAATTGACACATTTGATCCTGAGTCATAAACTCCCAAAATTTCCAAGGTGTCATTTAATAATAGTTTTATTTTGATTAATGGTGGTATCTTTAGTTTTTTGGATCCATGTCATTTAATTCCGTTTCTAATTCAGAATTGTTTACACTCTTTATCTGTACTCTTTTTTGTCTTTCATTATTTTTATTTTTGTACCAGCATAAGGATTCTGGGTGGTATCGATTAAATTTATTTTCTGTCTCACAGATTTTACATGGTTTCATGTTAGCATTTTTTTCTTTGTTCTGATTTTCATAATCTATCTTTTTTTCTATATACTTTTTATTTACCAAATGTTCTAATCCTCTTATATTATGGAATAAATCTTCTATATTTTTTAATTCATCTCTATTAATTTTATCGGCGATGTAATTTGGTAACCCTACTGTGATTAAATCCATTATTGTGAGTATGTCCATGGATTTGTTCAGCTCTAATAACAACTTTTCTTTTTTCACGGCATATTCTATTAATGAACCCTGTCGATATTTATATAACATTGCGTATCTAACCGAAGACCATCCTCTTTCCATATAGGTTTCACACAAACTTTCCTTCCATATTAACCATTCAGAATTTATTGTATGTTTTATGAGCATGGAGCTATACCAATCCAAAGATGAGCCTTCGAGAAATAATCTAAGTACTTCAATTTTTTTTGAATCTTCCTCTATTCCTAACCTCGTACATTCAGATTCAAAAACAGTTACCCATTGAGATATATTAGTGATTTTTGAATTAAATTTTTGTATTACGAATTTCTCTGACAATTGTTTCATATTACATGTTTTTGGTGTATCGTTTTTTAATTCTGAAAGCTTTTCTATGATCCTAGTTAATACTGTTTCAGAAATTCCTGCAGATGATGTCTCCTGCTGTTCTTCCTGCAATCTTTCTTCTAAAAAATATCCTTTAAACTGGATGTTTCCGTCTTCATCTGTATAAACTTTACTTATTTCTGGTGTTTTTGTAATCCATACCTGTCTTTTTTGATGTCTTTTCTGTAGTGTATTTTTTATCATTTGAAAAGCTTTAGTTTTTACAATTTCTTCATGTAGTCTTATTGATTGTAAATCTTCTGGGATCAAGAAAGTCTTACTACTCTCATCAGTGATTGAGGTTATGCAGATCATATTTGTTTTAGGATCTACTCCCGATTTCATAACAAATTCAAACCTTAATTTCTCCATTTTAGTATTTAACAGCCATAAAAATGTTGTTTTATAATATGTTTAATTTATAAGATTTCTTGGAAATAAAACTTAATTGCGTTGCTCTGTAAGAGAATTGTTTATTGAGAAACAATATTTCATTTACAATATTTTACAATAATAAATTTTAAACCTATAAATCTTACCTGTAAGAGAAACAACATTTAATGCTATTATTTCACTATTCCTTTTTATATTAGTTTAATTAATTTAATAAAAATAAACTTATAATTATTATTTCTAAATGTAACCATCTTTCTCAGAGATTAAATAAATACCACAAAGTAAATCATAAAACATTAGTAAGCATGCGCGGTAGTTTAAATAAAGTACTCTTTATTAACATATATATAGATGAATATGTACAATATCTCAATTTTCCTTCTAGATCTCGGCTGCATAACAATCGATTGACCGATGCACCCGACCTACTTGCAGGTCAAACTCCCGCTTTACCCCTCTTACTATACGCCAGTTAACTAAATTAAGCTCATTCAGTAAAAATATTATGTTGGGAAAAAGTCTTTTCGCATATAGTATGCATTAACTTGTAATAAAAAACTTTCTGGCTATACCATTTGTATCTGGCTGGTTCCGGTGTCATTAAAAAGTTTATATTTTAAAGAAAATAACTCCGATTTCAAATTAGGAAAAGCATTTGTTTTTTTTTTACTGACAAAATGAGTGAATTTAATGAAGATATGCGATATATTTTAAAATTTTATTACAAATCTTATTAAAAATGTTACGTTTATGAACCTAGAATGTAGTTTCTTTGAAAGTATCACAAATTTGGTTTAAGCGTTTTCAGTCTGGATATTTTGAACTCAAAGATGCACGTCGCTCCGATCGCCCTGTTACGGATGAATGCAATTTTTGAAAAAATGGAGTAAGATCAGCATATTAATAGTTACAACGTAGCTGAATAAATGGGGATTGACGACAAAACAGTTTTGGCTAAATGCGCCAAAACTGTTTTGTCTGTTGACAAAACAGCTGGGTACTTGTGTACAAAAAAGTTGGATGAAGAAAAGATTGCAAAAGGTCGTGGGTTCGATTCACATCTCAGGGTGCCAGGGACCAGGTGGATTTTTTAATTTTCAATATGGCATTGTGAATGCAAAATTAATCAAAATATAGTAATTCCTCTGTTAGCGGTTGATCCAGTTATATGATATTGTCTTGCCATTATATGTACACCATATGTTATGAAATAAGATGCAAAGAGGACGTACCTACACGACCGACACCCAGTGTACACCATCTGTACAAATGAGTGTATGTCATGGTATTAGAGGAGTTTAGTATTGAGTCCGGATGTCCTATCCTAAAGTGCTCACGTTTTTATATAAAGACTATGTTAAAAGCCAATGTTAAATTAGCATGTATAATAATAGGTTAATACTATTATTATTTACCTATGCTACATGCCAGTATAACATGGGTTCGCTAATCTCACTATCACTCCAAATAAATTATTATTAGAAGCAATATATAAGGTGTAATATTATTATTTGCCAAGACTTCGTAGGGTGGATTTGTTGAGTATACTGAACAACTTTTACTATGTGAGCAACACTGAATTCATGAAATATAATCAGCTGTTTTATAGTGTTGTAGGTAGGTATTACAATTTTGTTTAAAACAGCTGATTATATTTTCGTAATTTCAGTGTTGCTAACTTATCTACACCACGAAGTCCTGGCATATAATAATAATAATAATATTCTTCATTGCACAAATATAGGACACATTACAAAGAAAAAAAAAGATCAGACAGTATACAAAAGGCCGCCTTATTGCTATGCAGCAATCTCTTCCAGGCAACCAATGGTAACATAGAAAACATAGATAAATAATAATGAATGATGACAGGGAGTAGGTGCAATAGCGACAGAAATTAAATAGATATACATAAAGAGAAAAATAGATGATGTACACGAAAGAGAGAGAGTTAAAAGTTGGAGAGAAAGTGACATTTTACTTCTGCGACGAAAAATCGCAAAGTGCGAGCCTTCCTAATGTTTTCTGGTAACGAGTTCCGAAGCCGACCTGAACAGAAAAAGAATAGGATGAGAAGTCAGAGGAGTGAGGAGGGATATCGAGTTTCAGGTTTGAGGCAGACCGCAGAATACACTGTGATCCGGATGAGGAGTTGGATATTTTATTTTTATATAATAAAATTACACCTTATATATTACTGAATAATGGAGTACCTACTTTGAAAACAAAGAGATTCACAACGACGATATCACAAAACCAAGATTCGAAATGATCTAGTATCAACCTCAAGGGAAATCGAGTATGGAATGAAGGCGACACATTAAAACCTGCATTCTAGGCACTTGGCCTAGGAGGTAAAAAAATGAAATGGAAAAAAACATCGTATGTACTTTTTCAAGAGCTTTTATTCTACTGTCGTTCCCGCCACACAGATTATCAGAAGGTACATGTTATGATTAAGTACTTAGCAAATTTTCTACATGAAACTTTTATGATATAGGTATACAGAACTTGAATACACGTCATTGAATACTCTTGGTTACGAATATAAAAACAAAAACAAATATACTTTACATTTACGATTACAATACAGGAAAATTATAAGTATTTTATTAATGAAAAAACTGAATGTTTCATAAAACTCTTAATTAAAGACTGTTTTATGTTAATTTCTTTGAATTACATGAATTGGTCTTCAATAAACTAAAAGGGGCCGTCCATTAATTTCGTGAGGCTCGAAAGGTGGAAGGGGGTTCGCCAAGAGCGGCGTCAAAAATTAAGATTTTTTTAGGTACCAAAAAAAGTGATTTTGTTCATTTTAAACTTCACCATGTATCCACCAAGAGGGAAAGGGGTTTATAAAATATCACGTGATTAATAGACGGCACTTAACAATTTAGTATTTTTACGAATAGTAAGTTAGATAATTGCTTGTTCACGTACAACACGAGGTCGCGGAGCTCGTTATGACATCGGTCGTTGCATTTGCGCTACTATGACATTTGTCAGAAGTTCAAAACTTGTGGCTAATCTTATAAAATCTAGTCATATAATTTCTGTGATTGCTTTAACAAATTGGAATTCTAGCTCGGGTTACAGTACTGTGAGTGAGTAAATCGCACAAGCACTAAAGCTGCTGCAGCCACACTCTTAACAAGTGGAAAGAATGAATTTACTTTAATAAATAAATTCATTTAAGATATCGTGAGTATTTTTATCAATGACAAGGCGCACACAAACCGAGTTACAATTAAAACGTACAGAGTTAATATGGCGTTTGGTGAAACTTCGTTTGCGTAGATCCATTTACCAATTCCAATGATGATAGAACGTGAGATAATCACTGTTCTAATACGTAAAGTATATATACAATGCAATAGGTTTCCATAATTCTGTTTGGTCAGGAATCAGGACTGTACCTCGGTGCATATGAACGCAGCTATTAAAAGTATTGTATTATGATATATATTTAATACAAAAAACAAAACCTATGTGCCAGTAAAACAGTAAATAAGCAAAGCATTTTTATAGGATTATTATACTTATAAAATAACAATCGGTTAGTTTCCTAAACTAGATCACCTTTTAATAAATATACGTCTTTACTTAAAACGAAAAATATTTTATAATCTATAAGCGGACTCTGAATATAATTTTCTTCTATAGAAACATATTTATATGATCTATACAATTGATTATAGGTATATGTATATAAAACAATAAATTGGTATTGTACATTATCAGCTATCTTATATTATTGTTAACATGCATAATATTCAGCAGGTCAATCAACGTACACATCATAAACAATTTATGTATGGAAAAGTTCCAGAAATCCTCAGATATATCCCCACCAGGAGAACATGATTTTTTTTTGTAACTTTAATAATAATATATGTTCCCAAATGATGTTATGAACCCCTGAAAGTTTGTTTTTATTCTTCATCTAATTTCCCTAGCCTTACTTTAAAAATCTCCACTGGTTATGAAGCCCTACTAGAGTTTTTTTATTTACAAAATGACAATACTACTGATGGAAATGTATCAGAGATGTTTTGGAACAGTCCGAGTCATAACAGTCATCTATACAGGCTATACAGGTTTATCTTTTTAAAGTTTTTAGAACCAAAATAATTTACAAATTAATTGAATTCAATCATGAATAGAATATTTATAGTTTTGAAGTCTGTTCTTTTAAAAACTGTAGACACAATTAATAATACAAAATATAACATTAATAAATTCACATACATATACCAAATCTTTCATTTACCAACAACAAGAAACAAAAACTTATTCACTTATTGAAATATGATAGAAAATCAAACAAAACATAAATTCTATGATATCCACGTTGAACATCTAAAATGTCCTGTCTTGCAACCGTTACACTTATATTGAAAATGTTTGTATTTGTCACCAAATTGTGGCCACATGAACCATAAACGGATTTCTCTCTGTCACTCTATTGTACTGTCTTGTTGCTACATGCCAATTTAGGTCAATTTATGAGACGTCATGAAGATTATTAAAAATTCTTGTACAACCCTTCATAAAAACTATTTCGATCGGATTATCAATATTATTAATGCTATTCCCAACTTTAGGACATAAATCTAGAGATTATTCTTTTTATTCATATATTCTATCAGAGTGTGCCGTGAGTGATTTTTTTCTGCACAATAATGCAATAATACTAATGTATTATTATTTGCTTTTAAATACAAGTGTTATTAAAAACAGTAAGTATGGCTGATGATTATTTTTGCAATACTGTCGATAATCGTATACATATACTAAATAATCAGCTTAAGATTTTTTTAAATGTGAATAATTTTTACTGACCTTTATTACCTGATTTGATAAATTGGGCTTCAGATCAAGCTAGCAGATAGGCATACTATCTAAGTATACTATACCAAAACTACCCTACATTTTGTCTATCAGAAAAAGTGACATCTGGCTACCCAGAGATCTTGCTTCATCTATAACTGACATCTCTATAGCTACAAACACTCGTGTGCACAGGCTCTTACACTGCATATTCATGATTCCAGATGATAGCATTTCAATAAATACTAGGCAACAACACAAACACTTCTCATATATCAAACTAAGGACCTAAAGTCCAGATTCTAGACAATATATATGAATTTTTAATTACAAGTTCTAAAACGTGTTTATCCGATCGAAACTGTCTACAAACGGGTAATGTACGGGTACTACTCTGTACGTCCGAAAATGAAGATACGAGATATACGTAATATATATATATATTTTTAATCACTTGTTTGTGTATTATCTACTCATTAGTTGTTGCTTTCATATTTATAATTAATTGATATTGTTAATATTGCTTTGGTAATGGCATAATTTTTGTAAATGTCATTACTTCTGTTAGAGCTGGTAAGTTTCTTGCTCGTTTTATCAGCCAAAAGACGTCCAGAACGAGTGAGAAGTAGAGAAAAACATTGAACGATTTAAAAGCAATTTTAATCTTTTCGAACAAAGCTTATTTTGCCTTGACTATCAAGTAATGCTAAGCACTGAATTTAAAAAGGTTTTAACTGAGCGTTTTAATATTGGCATCTCTATTTTCGTACATATAAAGTAAATCTTGTCTCAATATATTGAACTAACGACGCGGTCTATACGGTCCCCGGAATCTGTGTTGGTTCAGTGGGCGAGGCCATCGTTATGGTGGCGGTTTGGCGGGATGCCGCCTGATGATCACTAGCTAATATCTGTGCCTGTTCGGGTACAGATTCGGGTTCTGTACATTAGGGTTGGACTGTTGCACCGGGTAGCCCTGTGTGATACTGCCCGGTTTCGTATTCTGTGTAAACAATCATTTTTATTTAATTCTAAAGTACAATATATATATATAAATAGTTAAATTCCTTGATATAATTATAAGCCTTAATTTTTTGATATAAATTTAAAATTACTTGCGAAGTTTTCGCCTAATAACCTGATGTGCTACTGAGTGTACAATATTTAACAGAACAATGTATGATGAAATCATCAACTCCGGCTCACAGACGACAAATACACTTTTTTCAAAGATTGCAGTCACTACTTCGTATCCAAATCTGCTGTGTATCCAAATTGCAGTCACTACATCGTATTCAAATTTACTGATTCGCGGGCGCAAGCTCGAATTTAAAGATATTTCCAACACATATCAAAAATAATCACGAAAATTAACAAAGACATGTGGTTTTAATTTCATTATTGGAATACAACTTTGAATATGAATGTAAAAACGACTCTACGGCATAGATTATAAGAGCTCAATTATAAGTTGGTTATGATGAATCACTAACCTGCATGGTGTTATGTTGTGGTGGGTGTATAGCGAGGTGACGACTAACAGGAGTTTGGTACACCATGCCGCTGCTAACCGCTGGATGATGGGCTTCACTCAGACCGATCAACACCTGAGGCTAATTATAATGACTATTAGGTAACTGGTGCAGTATTTAGCGCGTAAACCATTAGGGGTATAGACAACTTTTTTAAATATAGATGTCAATTGATATTTATAATATTTATAGTTAGTGTATTGAGAATTCAGTCTCAGTTAGAAAATTAACCAACATTTCTATTTTACACTTTCGATTTAAAATATCAAATAAAGCCACTGGCGGCTCAAAAATTGCAGCTCTTCATTTGCATGATACGAGTATATATCCGATATATATCGGATAAATATCAAATATCGGATATTTTTAAATTTATTATAAATATTGTATTTTTACGAAACCTTTATTATAAATATTGTATTTTTGTATATATATAAGTATCATTTATATAATAAGTTAAAATCTAAAATTAAATTTAATTATAAAAAATTCCGCCAACTTCTGTCATAGCATCGCTATAACGTCTCGCCTCACATAAACTAATATCGTTCTATGAATACATAAGGTTTAATTCTCTAAGCTAATATGAGTAATAGGGACTGTTTGCGTTCACGTGACGAGTATCAAAAATTTTATTTTTCATCATTAATTTCAGCAATATTATCAATATAATATGCATAAAAATGTGATTATCGGTAATAATATAATAGACTCATTGACGACACATATATCGACGGCGAAGTGCCAATACCTCCTATCTAACATTTTTCGAGAAAATGACTTTTTTATTTCATTGACGTTAAGGTCGTTTTCCACATGGGTTCATGAAATCACCTATCCGTATTTTTTACGACGACTGGAGAAAAATGAATGTGGAAATAGCTTCTAACTAAATTAGCGTATATAATTTATGGCAATTTCTCCTATCTACGTACAAGACTACTACATCTCAACGCGGAACATTGCCGATTAACTTTTCACAGCGGCTGCCGCGCCGCGGCTCGTGATATGGGTGAAGTTAGCGGTAGGGTTGCGTCACGTCACTTGCGAGGGTGTAATATCAATCGTATGTACATGGCTAGTATGTACAGGATTACCAGCATGGAGGCGAAGACATAGCTGTCAGGTAATTTGAGGTACCTGAAGGACTCAATATGCAATATACCAATCCTGGGGATGCCTACTGACACCATGCCCCCGAGAATCGATTCACACAGGTCATATCTTGTGGAGATGCCCACCAGGGACGACTGGTCAAACAATCGTATAGTATGGAAAAATGGAAGCCTAAAGTGGTACACTGACGGCTCCAAATCCGGTCCTGAGGTAGGATGTGGAATTCATGGAGAAGCCCCAAGGAAGGCTATAAGTCTGAACATGGGAAAGTACTCCTCAATATTCCAGGCAGAGGTGTACGCCATTTTGGAATGTGCGGCAGCCAATCTGCAAAATAACTACCTCAATCATACTATCTACATCCACTCTGATAGTGCGGAAGCTGGCACTCTTAGCACTAGCTTCCGACATAACTAGATCGAAGCTGGTAGAGAACTGCAAACAGACATTGAACTCTTTGGGCAACAACAACAAAGTAGTTCTACGATGGGTTCCAGGTCACGCTGGACACGAGGGCAATAAACAGGCGGACAAACTGGCGAAGAAGGGTGCTAAAGACGCCCTTATCGGACCAGAACCTTTCTGTGGCATCCCTCAAAGCCTAACCCAGCTCACCTTGAAAACATACTGCCACTACGCAGCTATTCAACTATGGAGAAACACTCCCGGTATGAAACACTCTAAGACCCTGATTAAAACCTTCAACAAAAAGGCGGCATCAGAGGCCTTAAACTTAACCAAAAATCACCTTCGCACACTAGTACGAGCACTCACAGGGCATTGTGGACTGAACAGACACATGTACAATATGGGGATCAGCGGCAGTAGAATGTGCAGAGGATGCAAGGAGGAAGAAGAAACACCTTTGCACATTTTGACCGATTGCCCGTCACTAATGCGAAAACGATGTATCTATCTGGGAAAGCACGTGATGCACCCAGACGATATTAAAGAACTTACGGCCAAGAAAATACTACAGTTCCTTGTAGAATGTAATCTTGACCGTGAACTGTAGTATGTGGAGATCACAATAGATCAGCAATGGTCGCAGTGATACTGGGCTGCATAAACCCAAGATAATCCGCAACTCGAAACAATACAACAATATCAATCGTAAAAGCAATTTTTCAAAGTAATTATTGTTTTAATTAAAATCAATACCTTCTATCGTACAATTTATTTAATGAAATCACTGAGGATGTTAAACCAATACCTTCTATCTAACCAAATACCTACTAAACGATTATTAATCAAATTAATATTTTATTGAAACCTAAGCCTGTCATATTGATATGTGCTCCATATAAATTGATTTCTTGATTTTAACGTTTTCAAGAAATTAAACATTTTTTTCACTTTGTGTAAAATTTTGTCTGTGTTAGAAGGTATTGGCACTTCGCCGTCGATATATATATATATCTTCTTATATATAAAAATGAATCGCAAAATGTGTTGGTAAGCGCATAACTCAACAACGCCTCGACCAATTTGGCCAAATCTTTTTTTAAAATGTTCGTTGAAGTTCAAGGATGGTTTTTACGGCGAGAAAAATTAGAATTATTGCTGGAAAAACCCTGAAAATAGCCCTTTTCTTTTTCCCATACAAATGATTTGTAACTAAAACGTAGTCAATTTGAGCTTTATTGCTATGGTATAAAGTTCATATTAAATTACAAGCACTCACTGTTGTCTAAGCAATGTAGGCTTTTTGACAGGACGAAGTCTGTCGGGTCAGCTAGTATATATATATATATTACAAGCACGGAGAGCTCGAGATTATAAATTTTCGGCCACAGAATGGGTGACCGAAAATTTTTTATATCGAGCTCTCCGTGCTTAAGTATGTTAAACCGTTGGTTCTTGGTAAATCTGCAGTATTTAATTAACACACACGAATCCGCACTTAGCCCACGTGGAGGGTTATAGGTCGTAATCGCTATTTGTTTTCAGTCGAGTAGCTCGGGGCCGAAGTGGATAAGAGCCGCGACCTGCGATGATTGATGTTGAATAACTTTCGCAAAGTTTGGTCACGGGATGGGTGACCAAAAAATTTTCTCGAGCTACACTGTGCTTCGGAAGGCACGTTAAGCCGTTGGTCGCGGCTACATTTGAAGTCGTAATACCATCCCATAGGCATTAGGTCAGCGTGTTGACCCATCCTCCTTAACCAACCATCCATAAGGAAAGCCTGAGCCTGCAGTAGGATCATAAAAGGAGTGATGATGATAATTTCATTTCATACATAAGAAAGACTTTTGCCCCAGCACCGGAGACATTAAAAGGCTGATGATGATGAGACGTATACATTACTCAAATCCCAAACTGAATAACTTGAGCCCTTGTATAACAAAAAACTGAAAAGATGTCATTACCCAAACCCGGGACGGGAATAAAAAAGGTTAAAATGCTGCATTATCGCACCACTTATACAAAATTACAATACCTACCAAATAGAAAAAGAAAATAACTTTTATTTTTAGAGCGATAGACAGCTAGTTTCACAAACATCCATTAAGGTTTAATGACGCTTTTAAGCTGTAATGAATGTCAAATTTGTCTGGGTAATGTCGCTTTAAACTAATGATAATTTTAATAGACGTTTATGCAAATAGCTGAGAGAGACATTATAAATTTAAGAGAGATCAGAGATAAAAGATGAGCAAATGGAAGCATAGTTATGTAAATTTTTTTTATATAAATTTACAATGGACTCACTCTTGACCTCAATCTAGCCTAAAGACATAGATGAGATTATTTTGATGTTTATAATTAATATATGGTAAATATGGTCAAGTCTGTTGCACGTTTCTTCATATAAGTTGCTTGGTTCCGAAATAATCATTCGCTATACGCTCTATGCTGTGGACCAGGAGCACGGTATTTGGTGAAACCACTATTCGGCACATCTCTATTTATTATATTAGAAATTAAAACAAACAAAAATAATATACAAACCTGCGAATCCTTTTTCTGTTCCTGATGCTGCTGACCGTCTCTATTCTTCAACATGTCCAGATATAGTTGGGGCGGTTGCGGCGCCGGCGCATACATTAAGTTGCCGTGATGCGGCGTGTGCGGGGTGTGGGGCGTGTGCGCGTGGTGGGGATACAACAATGGCGGCGGCCTCTCACCCACCACCCCCACCACGCCCGACGTGGGCATCGCGTAATAAGCGGCGGAGGAAACGGACGAACCGCCCGCACTCGAACCGTATTGAGATGGTTCTGTGGTTAGAATTTCCGAAATTATTCCATGTTTAATTAAACACAAAATTCTATGACAATGCAAAGCGAAATAGGTGACATTTTCGTTTGTTTGTCCGTCAGGTAGATTATTGAAATATATTAAACACGTATTTTTTTATTCTCTGCGAAATCAATGAGTTACGGCGATACATTGAATTGTCGCAATTACGTCACACCTTTGTAGATTTTCTACATAGTTGTGACGTAGCAACCCACTCAAAAACTTTCATGTCTATTTTCTGTTATTACTTGTTAAATTGAAGCATCTTGTATCTGACAGACAGACTAAAAAGAATTTCTTTTTTTACCCGTCATTATGCTTCAAACAAACCGAACGTTTGATGTAGTTGTATATTATAGTCAGTTTCGCATAGAATGGGTACGATGACCTTATTTAACAAATCCATTTCACGCGATTTTTATTTCCAAATGATGACAAACGATCCTTATAAAAGATAGTTCGATTGTGTATATGGTAACTTCAGGTATTTTTTTAAATTTGCATATTAAAACACAAGTAAATTTTTAATATCAATAATTACTCAAATTCGGTAATCATTTGACAATTTTTAATTAATATTTTAGTAACAAATTATTATATTTATAGCTTATTAATTATCTATCAAAACAACTTCAATTAAAGTGCGAATGCTTTGTATGCAGTTCGATTACTGTTTGAAAATTGAAAAAACAAAAAGCCTTACTATACATGACTGGATTAGGGTTATTAAAATAGACAGTATAATAGACTATCAAGTCTTATGACTTAATTTAAGTGAAGAACCAAATAATTTTGCTGACTTTGGATCATCTTGCTGACGAATAAATATTTTTATTAAAACCTGTTTTCTACATTGACCTCAAAATCGATTATCTCTATTAGAAATGAACTCTTTAATATCATTATTTATTTATTAATTCAAATCCCAAACGTCACCAAACCCATGTTATGTGAAAAAGACTGTAGCTACTTGACAATAATAATTTAGGAAATATGTTTGAAATGGTAACTTCTGTATATAAAACTACTATGTAGTATTTTTTGTTTTAAATTACCTATATCGTGAGTGTATTTTATTTTTTAAAAATTAATTTGCGTCTTAATATCTGTGGGTTACAAGCACCGAAACGCGGGCGACGTCACAATTCAATAAACTAAACAACTTCATTGATGCGAGTGCGACCAGCACTCATTATTATTGAAATGTGACGTCACGACTCAATATAACGCGTGACTGATCGCTTTCGCAGAACCATTTATATTAATGAATAAAAATAAGTTTTTCTATTACTAAGTAACATTTTTTGGGATAAAAATACACCAGATAGTGATTTAATATGATCAAATGAAAGTTTTAAAATACTTTTTCCAAAACAGTCAAGTACCAATTAAGAAGTTGTATTTAGTACTTTCTTATATTAGAACACAACAACAGAAAAAAAAAATACGTTTTACTCGTTAGCAAGTAAAGTATGCTACAAGACAAATAACACAATAATAGAGCAAGAAAAGGGAAACACTACCAGATAACATATAAGCTATACTAGAAAATCACACAGGTCAGAGATAAAAAAAAATACATAAGTTGAAATTAAAAATGTTTGATCCAACATTTTTTATCACATGCTGTTAGTTTATTCCTCTAACAGACAATTAAAATAAAACAGTATACATAAGTGCGGAAAAATAAATATAAAATTATTACAAATAAACTAAACATACCCAAATATGACAAAAAAAATACATCATCGCAAGTTTGCATGTGATGCGATATTAGTATTCATTATAATAAAACAGGCTTTTAATTTTAGGATATCCATATACAAATCCTAAAATTAAAGATAGTTTTGATATATGACATTAACATCGCCATTGATGAAATAAAGTGACGACACCTAATAAAGCCCACTATTTTAAAAGTCCAAATGCTGAATAACGAACCATTATAAGTTCCAATTGTAATATTAACAACCTTTATATATTATGTATGAGGTAACTTCTTCATTCATAGCAATTTCAAAACTTGTGAGTCTTCTTAGGTGGCACTGCCTTATTACATCTGACATGTTAGTTTATTGAAATGGTAAAGGGTAATTTAAATTATTTTTTTATATGAATAGGACAGATGAGAAGCCAAGAACACCTATCGGATATCAACTCACTGTTCCAAAGCACAGCGCGGGCCATTTGGCGACCCATGCGGCCGTCCTCTACTTCTGCAAAATATAACATTCGTCATTTGCCAATCACAATAATAACACAAAATATTTCACAAACACATAATGGCGTATAGACCTTCGTTTTAACTGTCAAAAATAAACTTTATTCAGCAATAATAATTAATTTTATGACAAACTGTTTGACAGCCAAACTTAAGAGGTCGTTCATACATTACGTCAATGTTAAGATAGATAGGAAAAGGAGACGAAGCAGTGTGACAATAGAAAAATATTTAAAAGAATTTTTATCGACAAGCTGTGAGGGGGGGAGGAGTCAAAAATCATTAAATTCGTGTGACGTAATATATAGATGACCCCTTATTTGTGTTTAAGGGCCGGCGCATATCTGACGGAAGATCGTAGCGTAAGGTCGGTCACGGAATGGCATAGCTGAGAAATATATATGACATTCAACCTTGCACAGTCGACGTAAGATCAGTCGCGTATTAACGCATACTTTCGTGATACGCCTGACAGTTCTTGAGTCAGATATGCACCGACTTTAAATATAGTTTCAGCATTAAAAATCTTAATGTAAAATTAATGTATTATGTTTAAAAATATTATTAAGAAAATAAACCTCATTTGTCCGGCAGAAGGGACTATTTATAAAGCTTTTTAAAACCATATAGTTACACTTATTGATGTACTTATATGATTTAAAAGATGCGTGTTAATGTGCATGCCAGGTACACATAACAGCACATCAAGCTATCACAATATTTCAAATCTCCGTAGTCGATTTTGAATTCTAATAGAATAATAAAATAATAAATGGAAAACTTTTGTCAGTTTTGTACAACCTGACGTACTGTCATTTGCACATCTGAGTCCAATAGAAGTCCTAGAAAAGACTTGGCCATATTATGTCGTCGTAAAATTATAAACATCGTCATTTCATAAACTAGTCGCGACTTCACCCGCGTAAACTATGGCTTGTTATTGTTATCCCCGAAGGTGAAAGAATTTTTAAAATCTGAACACTCGTTTCGGAGCGGAGTATACACCTCGTTAGATTATGAACTGTCGCGGGTTTATGTTAGGTTAGAATATAATAATTCTAGTAAGATTATAAACTGACAGTATTTACAATCTACATTAACATTTAATATCAAGTGCTCATTTTTAACGTATTTCTGACAAGACACAACATAATAATTTTGCTACAGAATAAAATAATTGACAACAGCCAACTGCACAAACGTCCATTAAAATTGTCATTAGTTTAAAGCGACGTTACCTATAAAAAATTGACATTTAATAGTGCTCAATGGCGTCATTAAATATTAATACACGTTTGTGCAACTGACCTTAAATGTCTGCATGAGTCAAAAAAATACAGTGAAAATACTGTTACTGGTAATTTCACTGCCCTTTTTTATACTTCGCTTCTTCAGGAAGAAAGAGAAAATGAAACAAAAAGATTTTATTACAGAAATAATACCAATGAAATTAACTTATTTAGTGAAAGTCCAAAAACTAGGTTGCGCATCTATTTGCTTTCATTTTTTTAGGTTCTTAACTAATTATTTAAAGACAAGTTCTTGATAATGACTGCTTAAAATGTATCATAAAAACATGATACCTTTATTTTTAGCCAGTATTTATGAATTAAACAGCTATTTAAAACTATTATTGTCATACTTATATAGAGTTAAAGTATTTAGAATCATTATTCGATCATTTCATTAATTATCATAAATACATTTTATCGTAACATGTAGTACTCACTGTGATCTGAGTAAACGGACTGATGTTTCATGTTCTGTGGCTGTAGACGGTGTGTGTACATCGGATAAGTGGGTGAAGGGCTGCGAGGTCGTTTTACACCCACTTGGATTGGGCCACGTACAATAGTCTGCTGCTTAGAAATTATATTTATGTTAAATAAATTGTCAATGGTTATGCAACTTTTACAATATAAAAATTTTAAAATTGGATCTAATAAATACTTTCCTATCTCTTAGGAATCAGGATTATGATTATTACATATCAAAATCCATAACGTAGTTTTTAAATCTGTAATATTTTCAGAGACAGACAGATGCAGCACTTTCTATTATTATATGAAAAGGAAAAAGTGTGAATAAAAAATAACCTTATTTAAAATATGAGATGTAAGAGGAGGTGGTCTGCCTTGAGACGGTGGAGGTTCTCCTTGCCCAGTAGACGTCTGCATTGGAAACATAGGAATCTGAATATTCCCCATTGGCATTTTCATTGGCTGCATTTCACTAGAAGAAGAGTATGAAATTTTCTATACTAACATAAGATATACAAAAGTACTACAAGTACTCTATATCATTTTTTATGTAATAAATAGAAAACTATTACATATACATTAATATACAGTTGTTGTATGGCTAAACTACAGCTACTTTCCTTCCTGAAGCTTATAACAATTAATTTCTCAAGTAATAAAACTGTAATTACAAACCTGTATTAGCATAAGCTTAGTTACAGTTATTCAGGCATGTCATCAAATAGATAGATTATCAAACATTCTACACAAACGTTACAAAGGTAACTGAAATATTTTTATCCACTGATGTCCTACCAAAATTACTAAAGCAACCACTAGTGGCAGCATAGACAAATAATTTTTTCTGCATAAAAAATATGTAGTTATTAATACTTACGACGAAATACAGATGACACTATATTAAAAAATAATACATACTATTGAATAGCCTAAAACTTATATATCGCTTGTAAGGTCTGTGTGATATCTGTGAGTGAATACTTAGTTTCACTTTTCTAAAGGATGACAGTTTGCGATTTGAATGTTCAAATGGGTAAGAAATGAATATGTTGTTCCTCACACAGATACAAGTGGTTTGAAACTGACCATACATTTCCATACTCACTTCGTTTCCTTCTGTTGTTGGCGTTTTCGGATTTCATCCTCATTAAGAACCTTTTTCAACTGCATGAATAACTGCTGTTTCTCTTTTTCAAGTTGTTTCAACTTTTGTTCCAATTGCTCAATCTGTTCTTTTGTTTCCTCTAAAATGGTCAACATTTAAATTACAAATCTTGATTAAAAATTAATATAACTGAATTTAAGCATTTCTACATTACATTAATTAATACATTGAATAAATATTCTAAATTCGCATAATAATATGGTAATTATTGCACAACAACCACATCTGGTTTAAGACAGCAGTTCAACAATCATTTATTTATCTAAATTATAATTTCAATATGATAATTTCATTAAATCTCCAATGGGTTTTTGAAGAGTTTGGCCTAGTTAAAGGAAAGAGCTGAGTTAAATTTATTTACTGTCAAAAGAAAACTGTCATTTGACAGTAAATCAACTGCTTTTGTTTAAATTATTTTTTCTTGGAGCATAGTTTTTATGGTGACACAAATCAGCAATTATATAATGGGGTGCTAACATAAACAAATTATATTCAATGTCAAGGTATTTTGTTCTAAAATTAAAACATATTTTTAAAACTCTTATAAGCTAACAAGTATACTGAAAAACAAATCAAAACCTTCAGTTAGAAAGGTCATTTGTATTAGTTACACAGGTGACATAATTTTTATATCTGTGATTATGTGTAAGTTGTTTTGTTCAATGATATGGGATAGTGTAAAATGTTTGAACATTGACCATTTTCAATGATCAATAAGTAAGTCTATTATACCACCTCAGGGTACACCTGTGGTACAGCACACTATACTTTTATACCCATAAGGGTATAGTGTTCACACTATAATAATGGCTAGTGAATAAAATCCATTCACTTGGCCCAAAATGATAGCCCAGTGGATTGGACTATGTTAACATGAATCTGCTGCACACCACATACAGGCCCTATAAGCCAATGAGAATGTGTCAAATCTAGTTTTAAACAAATATTTTGTATGTACTAAAGAATACATAACAATTAAAGAGCATAAATTATAATTTACCTAGAGTCATAACATCTTGTCTTTCCCTGGCTTCTCTTTCCTTTCGGAGTCTTTCCTCTTCTACTTCTGCTTCATATTCTAAAATAATTAATATAAATACTCATAATAACAAAGTTAAACAATTAAGAGTAATAATAAAAAATAATAATTTGTAACAGTAAAAAGGATATTACAGATGTTTAATGTTAATCAAAGACATCTATGTCTATGACATGTAAGTGCGACTGAAAGCTTTACCTTCCTTTTTTCGCTGTCTTTCTCGAATAATATATCGTTTGAGAGCATTCCACATTTTCTGGTCAGCATCATTTTGTTCTTCAGCTGTTGTCGAAGTTACAGCAGGCATTTTAATGAAAATAGTTCTTGCCAAACAATCTGTTCACTCACAAAAAACTAAAGTGATAACAATTATCCACTTAATGGTATAATATGCTTTCTATGTGCACTCTAGAATAAGTTTCTTCAATTTACTTGGTATTTTTCATTCATATTTATTTCACACAAGTCACAAAGAGTGAAACATATAGGGATGCGATGCAACGATATACATATCGTAAACCGATTTATATATCGATATGGTTAAAAAAGATATATCCACAACGTTTTATACATTAACAGTGTTATTAATAATCAAAATTACATTTATAGCGTAAATTTATTCTGATGCTAAACATTGTTTATTAAGAGCACCGATAATGTACATCCTTATCACCACAATCAGAAAATGCGACTAATTTACTTTTAAACTTGAAAGAAAACCGGAAAGGTTATCATGGAGAAATCAAGAAGGTACCGTGGCGAAACTCCCAACTGATCCGATACCTAGAAGATCACTCCCTTGTGAATGATCGTCAGTATGGCTTTAGACCAAAACGATCAACGGGTGATCTTCTAGCGCACGTCATGCACCTCTGGGGTGAAGCTATAGACGAGCGCAGCGAGTCTTTGGCTGTCAGTCTTGACATTGCTAAGGCATTTGACAGGGTTTGGCGCAAGGGACTTCTCTCCAAGCTTCCGGCCTACGGTCTGCCCGTTCAACTCTGCGCCTGGATAGCCGACTTCCTGCGTGAGCGTAAAATCCGTGTTCTTTCTGACGGATGCTCTTCACAGCTTATGACAGTCAATTCCGGTGTGCCTCAGGGCTCCGTTCTATCCCCTAAACTTTTTCTGATGCATATCAATGACATGCTTCCATCCACTTGGAAATATCCATTGCTATGCAGACGATAGCACAGTGCATGTGGGATATCACGGGGCTCCTACGGTCGGACGGGCGGAAATCCTGGAGAAAAGAGAGAATCTTGTCATTGAGCTCAATCACGTTCTGGATCTCATATCGAAATGGGGTGCTGAAAATCTGGTTGAGTTCAATGCCAAGAAAACTCAGGTTTGCGTATTTACCGCCAAGACCCCTCCATTCCCTTCCCTTCCCTCTCTTCAGGGCACAACCTTGCCTCTACAGAGCAGCATCAACATGCTCGGGATGGAAGTGCGCTGTGATCTGAACCCCAAAAACCACATCGAGTCTGTTATTAAAACAGCATCACGTTAACTCGGTGTCCTGAACACGGTGCGGCGTTTTTTTCACGCCCGAACAACTGTGCCTGCTATACAAAACGCAGGTCCGGTCATGCGTGGAGTATTGCTCGCACCTTTGGGATGGCTCCGCTAAATACTTACTCGATGCTTTGGATAGATTGCAGCGCCGCGCAGTACGCATTATTGGCAATGGCGAAGTCACCAAGAACCTAGAAAGCCTGCAACTGCGCCGAGACGTTGCTTCGCTTAGCGTCTTCTACCGTCTCTACCATGGTGAATGCTCTGAAGAACTCTTTTCCCTTATACCCCCATCTCCCTTCCTCCTCAGGACCACACGTGCTGGTTTGCATTGCCGCCAACTAACTGTGGCAACGATTCCTTCGCGTACAAAGAAATTTGGCGACACATTTCTTTGTCGAACTTCCAAAAAATGGAATTGTCTCCCGGCCCATGTATTCCCTCCTTCCTATGACATGGGGTCCTTCAAGCGGGGCGTGAAGAAGCACCTTGCAGATCGGCAAGGTGAGGTTGGCTAGTGCAGTACCTACGTACTGTTTTCACTAGCTGTTCTCGCGTTTGGACTGCGCCTTCGCTTACCATCAGGTGGAGCGCAATCATTTGCCCTCCATTTTATAAAAAAAAAATCTAGTTTGATTTGGGGAACAAATTTTTTTTTAATGCTTCCTCATTGCTGTTGTTGTGAAGAAAACAGTATGGTCATATTATAATTCCACATAATGACGTCAACATTATGGGGGAGGCACACGTAGTCACACAGGTATACAATGCACTGCATTTACTATTGTAACTACAGCTCAATACTACAATGATATGATACCTACGAATAATAATCTCGACACGAAATATTATTTTGTTTCAAGATACAAAATGCTTTTTAAGCTTGCTTGCTGCACGTTAGCATGGATCAATGTTTTTTTCTTTGTTTTATGAATATCTGCAATATCTCGCTCATGCAACTTTCATCCATTTGTCTTTTCTGAGTGCATCATAGCATTTACAAGCATTTCACACTCAAGTCACATTCAAATAAAGCTTGTTTTCCTTATTGTTTTATCCTATGATAAATTTTATTACAAGCAAAGAATATAGTGCATTTTAAAAGCCTTATTACGAGTACAGTGACTGAAGTTAATTTTTCGTTTCTAACGACTGTAATGGGTAAAGGCGACATTTAAAGTCGTAACAAACGAATCGTAACAAAACAAGGTGACATTACTAAAATAAATGTTGTTTTGAAACGTTATATCAGTAACGTTTGAAACAAATATTTACTTTAACATCGACGTATCCCTTTTATTATAAACCTTGCATCCCTAAAACGTCTTTACTGTTTGGCATATTTTTCTTTATTTAATCACACTCTGGTATCAAGGCAGACACGTTCAAAAAATTTTTTAAACCTAAAACTGAGATTGTACCTTAGACTCAAATAAATAGTTAATTAGTATAACTTACATTATTTACAAAGAATACAATTTTGATAGGGTGTTTAATACCAAAACTTGCTTTTTCTATAATAATAATTTAGCATAAACCATTTCCACGCCTTACTCAACCGAACCGAGTGATGACACGAGAGATTTTTAAGCGTTCCTTTGTACAAACAGTTTAAAAAATTATATCAACTTAATTCATTGTTTGCCCTATATCAAGAAGTAATTTTTTATTATCAATTAAATTAAATAAAAAAGTGTTTCGATCGAAGTTTTACATTAAAATAAAATTCTACAATTTTGATTCTAATATAAATATCAATACGATCATAAGTTTGAGGTGAAAACGATAAACCATAATGTTGCACAACAGTATTTTTTGTTTTTCTTTTTGATTGTTTTATGTTTGATTACATTACAGTACTGAAAATCGTTTTAGTTTCAAATGAAATGGCAATACTCGTTTGTATTTTCAACTCTTAAATAGTTTGCAATATGATTATTTTGCTTTGTGTTGGTGAACTGAATCAATATGATTAATCATGGGCATATCCAGGACCCAGCATTTACTTAGAGCCTAAACTTATCTATAAACTATAACATTTTCAAGTATTTGCTTCAATGGATAAACACTTGTATTTAAGCTTTTCGAATAATCTTGTTATTGGAGATAATCATACTTTTAAAATGGAGAAGCGATTTATATTAAACAAAAAAAAACATGCACTCACGACACACAAAACAATGATATAACATTTTAAAATCGATAATCCAAATATAATCGGTAATTTGTTATCAAATTTGTTTAATAGGGTCCAAAAAATAAAGTAATATAACGGGATAGGGTCGGGTAGGGTAGGGGGTCACTATTTACTGACTGATGACATGTGTCAAAATGACCTTTTTTTATTGTTTTTTTCTTTTTACTTGATAAAAGGACCTCTTATATTGTGACTGACATCTTCTTCTTTTTCTTTATAATTAATGGCATTGCCCTTCCTTCTAGACTATAATGTGACAGAGATAAGACGTGACGTCACCAGACTTGACACATGACAAGACTGACGGTTCACAAATGAGTTAAATTCTTAGGGCGATTTTTTTGTTAAATCTAAACATTTATTTTGTTTATAAATGAAAGTTGTCTTTAAGTGTATAATTAGGTCTGAATAAATTTTAAAAGTGACGATGGACGGGTCTGTACCCAAAAAGAAGCTCAAAACCGTAAGTTTTGTCTTCAGTTGATTTTATTTCTTGATATCAGAGTATATTTTTATTTTATGAATGAATTGAATGGATTTATTACATAAATTCCTAGTAGTTTTAAACTCAATTTTTCTTACTAGGGTTATTTTATGTATAAACTATTTATTTTTCTAATTCGTATTTGCCACTTTAAAAAGTGCATATTATTAAATGTTGTAAGTATAGTATTATTATCTATATCTTGTATTACACAATAATGATAAAAAATAACAATAACAACTTAAATTATCGTAATTACTACAATTAAGATAAATAGCATTAGGCTTTTCATTTTTGTATCTTATATTATCAGTTGGTAGACTGACTCACTTTCATATTTGTGTTAGATTCCACACATTATGAACCACAACATGTATTTAAAGATGTCTTTCTAATTAATAGAAAATAATCTTAGTAATGAAAGGCAGCAGCAATTAAATAAATTATGATCTTTACTTAAGTAACTTCCATCTGAGGATCATGAGTGGATTTTTTAAGCATTTTGTATTAAGAATATATTTCAGTATAGCATTGTTAATGCCAAATTGATCAAGTATAAATATAAAATGTCAACATTAATTACAACAGCTTATTTATTATACCTGAATTATTGCTACTATAGGATATTCTATTCACTTTGAAATAATAGTTGTAACTGTTTATTTTAATATAAAAAAGCTATAAAACGAATGTTTTAGAAATGTAAATATGTTTTCTTGCCTTTAAATTAAACATTTTTTTATACCTGTCAAAACTCTGTCCGTTGTATTCATGAGTATAACAGATGTATATAGTTGAAGATTAAAAATGTCAATAAAAGAAGAACAATGCCATCTAACAATCAATTACAAAAGAAAAAGATATCATTTTGAAAAAGAATAAGATATGAATTTGAGACATAATTTATAGATATATCTTTATGACACTGACAGTTGTCGCCACAGTGATGTTACACAATGGCAGGACATGTTTCAAGTCATGTGATACACAGACAAAAATTCACCACTTTTAAATTTGAGATAATAAGATAATTATGCAATTTTAACTTAAAATCAAAATCTCTTTGTTTATAACTATGTAAATTTTAGTTTTTATGCAATTTTGTGATTCATTTTTTATTACCAAAACTACTATTACATTAAATATAAAAAATCACAAACCATCTTTACAGTTAGCAGTAGTGATAATGGACCATAATTAACCTCATTTTAATAGTAGCTAACCAGAAATCGGTAAAACAAATGTAACTATTATAAACTTATATACAACTATACTCATCTTTATATTAAATTTTGAATGTTTCTAATATTATATTTTCACAACCTATTTTGTTTTGTGAAAAGTTTTGTAAGCTGATAAATTTTAATAGAATTAGGAATAATTTTCCTTGCACTAATGCAATAATTTATTTATTTCAATAATACTTCTTTCTTTTATAGTTTATTTTTAATCCTCTTTTTTGTGGGCTTTATAACTTTATTGTTTATGCCAGCCCAATCATAACTAATTTACAATATATTAAATGTAAATAAACATATTTACATACATATATCTATGAAAGCATAACTTTGTACACTATTCACACAACTTTTAGTTTCATCTGACAATGGACATGCTAGTATACTTTGGGGAATACCTATGACTTATATCATTCTCTTAGGTTAATTAAAAGCATAATTAATTTCAAAACGATACTTATTGCACACATTCATAATAGAAAGATTTTGTTATATAGAATAAATATAAAACTATATTATTTTAGCAACTTGCCTATTGAATTTATATTGTCCACATGTGTTTATTTACCCAAAAATAACAATAAAAATATGTGCACATGCAATAAAAAATCTCGCAACCAACACTAAATATAAATCTATGCAGATTTTAGTTAGCTATTCCTTCACCTAAATAAATAAAAAAATAATCCACTAGCCATTCCCTACTAGTTGGCCAACGATAACTGTTATCAAATGACATCATAGAAACATCAAATGGTACCATCAACAAAGAATTATTGTATTTCTAATGGGCTTAATATTCCATCAGTTAAAGATTTGTTGGTAGTTGATATTCCTTAAGTAAAGATTATCAAAGTTAACAAAGCAACTACATATACGGCAAAACGAGAACAACAATTCTTAAAAGACTACATATAATAGCCACCGGCACGGACAGATGTACGCGATGGCGTTGTTGGCGGTACTCAGAGAGTCTGCCTGGACGTGCGATGCGGTGAAGGGGGAGGGGTGGGAGTGGTCAACTCAAGGGCAACAGCTTGTAAGTTACATCGATACCTATACAACTTTCAATATTGTAGGATTTATAATACTGTTTCTCAGAAAACAGCAATTAATAAAAAAATAAATCAAACTAAAATCGGGAAGAGTGTAATTTACTAGATATGTATGTCGAGGGCCAATCGTTGAATTGGACCGATCGAGATCTGCCCGGGCATATCATGATATGCCGCCATTTCTTGATTTGAATCGAGATCGGTGAGATCGGATCGAGTGAGATTGCATTGACGGCACGATTCATATCAGCTTGTGCACTATAAGAAATCAGAGTTACACTTTAAAACACATAAAGCTCTATATTACTCTATAAACTCATAAGTCATCGTCCAATAATGGAACTAATCATGTAGTCGTTTAAAGCAAAAGACCTCAAGTAAACGCTAAAGGTCATTGCTGTGTTTTTACAGGGAATCATTTGTACAAGATTTATTTATTTATTTGAAAAAATTAAATTGAATTAAGGGTTGAGGAACAGCATCGAAGAGTTAACATTACGTAATTTATAATGAAACCTATTCTGGGCGTTAGCGCCAGCTCAATAAAACTTGGCGCCGCCGTAGGCAAAACATTAGAACGACGTTCTTAAAAAATCACAACGAAATAAAAGACTAACGTGGGTACACCGATTAAAGAGTGTAATTTTGCCAATGACAAAAAGGCTTCCTACTGAAAATTTTACATGGCGAACAGATTATTTTTGCCATGCTATGCCGCTCTCCAAATACCAGCGCCCTAGGCCTAGGCCTACGGGTCGGATCGGTTGGACCTGATCTAAGGAATAAGCAAACTAGGCAGTTGCCCATCGAAGACAAAATTGAGTGGTCGAAGTGCTCAATCTTTCTCTCTAGGGGAAATAATATCAAAAAAGTACCATGTTTAGCTATCAAATATGTTTTTAAGGTTTTTTAAATAATGTTTTGTTTTTCATTGTTAATAAGTGTGAGGTCCATGCATGACAATGATAGCGTATTTGTCGAATCATGTTAGGTAAGATACGTTGATGTTTGACCGAATAACGTTATATCTACCCATAAAATTATGTTTTTCAAATACTGTGTCTACAAAATCTCTTGCGTTTCACGAGCGAAAAAAACTTTTGGCATCTGCAACTGTAAAGCTACTTATGTGGAAAAATATTTGACGACAGATATCCAAAGTCGTGAATTCTAAATTGGCTAAACTACAATTTTTTGTTAATATAGTATCACTAGCTGTGCCACGCAGCTTTGCCCATTTTATTAAATGAAATGACAGGTTATTTACCCATTACTATTCCTACGCGAAAAAAATCTGTCACAGCAACGCTCTATTGCGATCGGAAAGAGAGACAAACCAACAAACACTACCGTTGATATTGTAGTATTAGTATATTATACCTATAGATAATATTAGTAGTATGGAACAATAATATTAAACTATGGCTATTGAATATGGATATTAAGTGTAGTAATAAACTTCCTGATTCGACTATTGCAACACGGAAGTTATCAAATATTACCTACGACCATAAATAGGTTTATAGTGAACAGCCGTACGTACAATCATTTTCATTTTACATTTGAGAACTTTATCTGAGAATAATTAGCGATAGGGTTATTTATATATGATTTTTCGGCCTTTACATTGCTTCTGCACTGGGTACTGAGTGATATATACCTACCCATAGTACTTCAACATGCTGAAAAATCTAAAGTGGCCCGGATTGCAAAAGATTGTGGGTTCGTGAGATGGGATCACGTTAGTACCTGAGGTTGGTGGATTACTTAATTATTTTACATTGACAATATATTTATTCTTTTTAAATGTCCGAGAAATCAAATACCTAATTTATTATTTACCCTTTGGCACAATTACAACGTCGATCGATCGCGATACTGATATGAGTAAAGCAAAGGTACCTGATATCCTAGAAAGATCGAGTTGACGTTATAGGAACCTATCTGATTGTTTTAATCTTAAAGTACCAATTGTAGATAGCCTGGATTAGATAAAAATCCAAAACTGTGTTGCGTAATATATAATCTATGTATAACATGATTACGATGGGGTTTTACCTATGAAAATTATCTATAAAGGATCATTTTCATAGGTCGTTCAATGGTCAATGTACCATGGAAATTAAATAACCCAACAGAAGTAGGTTACACAACGAATGCAGGTCTTGTCAATGATTTAATTTAATTTTTACTATAAAATTAAAATATAAAATTTTACTATGTAGTTTGAACAATCTTTTTTCACCCCAGTAATTTATTTAGATGCCTACATAAAGGCCAAATTGTAACGGCATCTCAGTTACTATCACCATTCGGCGACTAACATATATGTCACAAAAACAACTCGATTGGTCCAGGAATCTCTGTGGTGTATGTGACATACGCGCGGGCGGAAAGATGGATATGCTCCTGTCATTTTTTCCAAAATTCTAAAAACGAATTTCACGCGGGCGAAAAGCTATTTATATATAAATAAATATGCAGAGGAAAGTCTACGTGAACATATTATTAGTTAATTACTCCAACAATAAATAGCGACATTAAATCAGCCTTTGTCATTGTTATTTAAAAAATTAAACTTCCGTATTTTTCTGTTCGCACAATTCGAAAGGTAGTCGATTGAATGGATCGAAATTTTTACACCATGACGTTGTATTTTAAATAGGTATAAATTATTTTTTAAAACTACATTTTTATCTCAATTTTGTCACGGAAACAATCACATCGGAGTATAGCATTAGAAGAAGGATTTTAATATACTCCGAAACTACTGGACCAATTTTAAACTTCTCTCGCGGGATTGCACACCATACGCGGGTGACGTAGGCCATAAATACGCGGGCGAAGTAGCGGAAATAATAGTGACAAAATTAAATTAAAATCTTGATAAAAGAACTGCCCATATTTTCACGGCAGAAATACAATAGAAAAACTCCACACGAAAACCATAAAATAAAATTTACGAACGTAATTGTAACTCAAAGAAAACTGTTGTTGGATCATCAATCTTTTTAAATAAATACAAGTGTTCCGAATATAATTATGTAGTAAACTCTAAAAATGTACATAACATTAATAAGAGAATTGAAATAGCTAACAAATGTTATGTTAACAAAACAGCGAAGTTTTAATAAGGAAAGAGATTCATAACAAGATAATAATTAAAAAATAGATGTAATAATTCTTAATATTGTATTCTTTATTCATTATTGTATCGTTTAAGGTAATAAATTATGAAATAGATATAATTCCTTATTAAGGTACTTAAATTATATTGCAACTGTCACTGCAGAGTGGCACTGTGCAAGGCTAGACAATAATGTCCAATTGAAATTTTCTGTCGTACGAAATATTTAATGCCAATTTAAAATAAGCGGTGTGGTCGGCGACTACTACAGTACACGGCAAAGCAGCGTCAACGCTCGCCGCGTTTTCGATTTCATATGCGCGTACGCATTCCTCGTAAGAGCGAAAGTTTTTTTTTTATTTTAATCAAAACTTCTGTTTAGTAACCAAAAATGAGTTTGGAGACCAGAAACAAAAAGGTTATGGATACCTTTGAGAAATATCACATTGAACGCTGGGGTAATGGGGATGTTAATAAAAGACAGGTAGTGTATTTATTATTTTTTTATTTATTTGAATATTCTTTAAATAATATGAATGTTTTGAAAGAGCAACAAATCAATTCATGCAATTTCAAATTAAATTTTAGAATTTATTAGTTGTTAATAACGCTTCAAGATTATTGTGTATTAATATAAACATGTATTTACGAGTATGTTTCCCATGATCAGCATATTTTGGTTTTATAATAGTAGCATGTACCAATAATGTTTACTTTTTAAAATTAAATTTACGTTATTACTTTCACTTTTTCCTTTATTTTTATATGATAACTTTCTTTCCGGTAATAAGCATCTTACGTTCTCATGAGTGTTACGCTTCCTCAACTTTTTTACACGCTTATTCAACAAATACCTCGCTAGAAACATATTTATTTTAACCGTGTTTTGTTCATGTGATTTTGAGAATATGTGCTTATATTTTGTTATTTTTAACTAAAATTTGTCTGACAAGAAAAGCAGTTACCGTCTTACTTTATATTGATAATGTTTCAGTTACAAATTCTATTAAAAATCATATCAACATCAACGAAGCGTCGATACTTACTTTTTATAATTCATAGTAACATAATAAAGTAGTTAAAAGGATAGCATTGCGGCTTAATATATCATTGGCACTAAGGCTTACTATACTCTCAAGGTTACCTACTTGATAGCATCGCGTTCAAGTTAGATGTCATTTGATATTTATATTTTTTCAGAATATCTATTTAATTATTTTAAGTTATTACAATCAGCGGATTAAAATATATTTTATTAACAAAATAAAATTAAAAAGATCTCTTAGTTGTAATAAATTAAAACTAATTTTTACACATTCAGCAGGCTTTTGATAAAGTCTTACACTTTGGACCTTTTATGAAAAATTGCTAATTTTTACACATTCGGCAGGCTTTTGATAAAGTATTACACTTTGGACCTTTTATGAAAAATTGCATTGCATAATATGCTTCACATTATTCTAAAATTTTCAATAGAATCGGATCCCTTGATATGAAAGAATGTACAGTTGTTTTTAACATTCGCGCTGAAATACCTCAGGGCCTAATTCTTGGACCAATTTTTTATACTCATCTACAATAATTACAGCAGAGTTACTACAGACCAGTTGCATCATGCAAAAATTATAATACTTCATGAAGATGAAGTAAACTAACGTGACGAATAAATAACGAATGTGTTTAGACCTGGGGGCCAATTCTACTAAATTTGTTTAAATCGAATCGAAAACGGATCGAAACCGAACGAAACTACAATTTTTAATGGTTTTCCTATTCTACAAAGTGACATACGATACAATTCCAGTTCTATTTTAGCTGGAATTGTATCGTATGTCACTTAGTAGAATAGAAAAACCATTAAAAACTGTAGTTTCGTTCGGTTTCGATCTGTTTACGATCCGTTTTCGATTCGATTTAAACAAAATTTATTTAGTAGAATTGGCCCCCAGATTGCTTGACATGATGGAATCGCAAACGAACCATTTGATACATTTTGAAACTTACAATTAATATTATTAGTACATACGTGGATTAGTCAGGGATGTACATTCTAAGTGCAATCGCGTTCAAATAAAAATATGGCTGAAATATTATTTAATCTAATTTGAGTATTATTTTTAACGTTCATTACTATTAACGTTATTGCCTTAATAAGATTGTGTTATATTAATATGGCCAAAATATAACAATTGGTTGACTCTCTCTATGGCTCTACTGTTGTGTTAAATATCCAAAAAGATTTTCATCATATTTAACAAAATATGGGATTACAACTGTTACCGATCTATCTTACTTGGCGTTATTCAAGTAAAATTCAGTAAAACTATTACTTTTATTTTTTGAGATGACGTCGTATCTGACGTCGATATGAAATTTAACATGTGGCTGACAATGTGATTTAATTTTATTTTAGCCCTATTATTTGCGATAAATTTTATCCATTATGATCATGATAATGATATTTTATGTTATAACTAAAATATAAATAGTTTTCTTTTTATCTTCCATAAGTACCTAATATCTAATTCAATTCGTGAAAGGACATTCACAACAAGGAAGTCCTTTGTTATAGTATATATTTGACAGCTTGTGAACGTTATTATCTGTATGTGATGTAATCTGTGACACGATCATCAATAACGGACAGTTAAATTTATGTTTCTACGTAAACTACCTATTTATGTGTTCATTATTCAACTTCTTGCTAAACGAGTACATTTGGACGAAATAAAAAAATATACGAGTACCTTATTGTAAACAAACACATAATTTTGATTGACTCTTAACACATTTCAGATGTTTTTTTCTTTATTTTATGTTAGCTCTTCGACTTTATGATTTTAATACACACTTGAACATGTATTAACAAATTTATTATCATAAGCTGACTCATAACGGCTTGCGAACCCAACATCTTCTCCTCAGACCAAAAAATAAAGAATTTCCTCAAAGACAGAAACGGATATTCGCACATTTTCTATTAGTAGCCCAAAAAACAAATTTCATATTTCTAATTTAAAACTGACGGAACCCTATAGAAAATTTCGACCCGTATTTATTTTTTTGTAATTTATTTATGAATCACAAACAAGATTACAATACACTTATGCTAAAAGTTACATAAATTACTTCGATAATTAATCGAAGATAAATTAGGAACTATTGTAAACGCAATATCGTTGGTTACGTTTAAATACACATATTCTAGTGTAAACTAAAGATGCAAATTCTTTGCAAGACTCATACAACTTAAGTTTAAATTATATTAAAACTATATATATAGAACCAAATCTATATCTGTTTCACTGTGCATGGTTTTTGTTAATATATATTAACAAAAACCATGCACAGTGAAACAGATTTGTGCCTACTTATATATGTAGTGTAAATTAAGATTGTAATCTTTATGTCTCTCTTTGAATAGTGCATGTTGTGTGTGCATGTATGATCTCGGGTATAGGCGCATGTGTGTGTGTGTAAAACACACATACACACACACGCATATACCCACCACCAACTTGTGTCAATTCATTTTTTCAAAAAAGTCAAAAATGTTCTAAAAATCCTTCCTTAGTTGGTGTCTCCTCCACAAAATAACTTACTGATCAAGTTCATGGTTCAATATTCAATATTTAATTCTCGGCGATGGTGAATCAGTCACAAGTTCCTTTTTAAGTATAGATGACATATTTTTTTTACTGCTAAGATATTACAAATATTTGCTGTATTTGCAAATATGGTACAATTCAATAAATTCAATCTATCTATTAGCAGACTGCAGTTGTGTATTATTAAATCGTTTATGTAGCCGGTTTGTTTACGTTTACGTAAGTTGCTACTGCGTTGACTTTCTCTGTTACTAGTATACGGTTATTAACCACTCCCTGTGCATCTCCATATCCACTGTTACTATTGTTTTTTACTTTTCCTTCAGTGTGTATGTTGTTTTATACGTATAAGTCTTAACTGTAATAATACGGTAACTGTTATCCATGTAATTGTAGTCTTCTATTTGTTTTTTGATAGTTCTCGTATCATTGTTTATTGGTGTATTGTTTTTGTGTATTGTTTACATAATATTAAAATGTATAAAACGTCTCTTTCCGCTAGGGCGGTTTTCATTAATATACAGAGATTCAAGAGAAACTTTTATATATTTATAATACAGGACCACGCGGGCAAAGCTGCTGGCGGAAAGCTAGTGGAGTCTTAAAATCTGTATTACGAACGAATATTGCTTTTGTTTTTGTAAAGTTGAAAACGACAAATAATTTCATTGTATCTTTATTAATGTTATGAGCATTTTAATTATTTTCGTAATTTGGAATGCAGCTGACATTTTGTTTGATTTCTTCACGCTTAGGTCTTGCTTCTTCATGACACCGCATTTAGAGAGTTACACTACACATGACTTAGAAAGTCCGCATCATCATCATCGACGACGATAATAGGACTCTGACATGATTCCGTGACTTATTTATTTGGTGTCTCATGAGGAATAATTGAATGTTCTTTTCTGTAAAGGAAATATCAGTCTCGCTATGAAACTGAGATGTAAAAGGAAGCGGTTTTAATATTGATCGAACGATTAAATTAGTTACTTTTTGTATTACCAGGAAGTCGTGTACACAATATATAATGGAAGTATTTTATAACGGTCGGTATCTTTATTTAGCAAGGTCAAATTTAAATGATATTTTATCAATGTAATTGCAGTATTATTTGCATTTATAACTATTTAATTCATAAAGTTAAAAATAGAAACTTGTATGCAACTGAGAGTGTGAATTTGTACAAATGAAGGTTGTTTGAAACAACAGATTTCCAAGTAAATTACTTAAACGAATTATAAGGGCAGACATGCGATGGTTTGTATCAATTTGTAATGTACTTAACTGTAACATGGTCAAGTAAAACTGATCGTACGTCTCTTACGGTACTGCCTGCGGAAGATAGTCCCATATGACATCTTCGTCCGCCCGCGACCACTGGTTTATATCTGGCTGCTTTCTTGCAGCAAAGAAAAAGTAATTTAGAGAGAGAATGTTCTTAAGTTTACTGTTATGATTTTAAAGTACTCGTACCACAGTGTCTACTAATATCGAACACCCATTTTCACTAATCTAGAACAAGGCAAAGCTTTACTATGAAACATCTAATATTACATATAGTCTAAGCAGATTAGTTTAATTTCAAATAATTTTTTTTTTCTTTTATCCCTTAACATATTTTGACTTCTCATTTACGCAAATGCCTAGCGCAAGGCACCGCATAACGAATATCATACCTTTAGACATTGTTTAATTTTGTTAGGTGGTTCCTAGTCCATGATGAAATGCATTTTTACCTTATTAGTACCTTAGTAAAAATGCATTTGTCAGATTTGGGTGACTCCTAAGTTTAGTGAAAACGGATATAACTAATATCTACTAATTGGTACTTCTGTGCAATATAAATTATGGGAGATTAATGAAAAGGAGATAT